CTTGAGACTGAGCATGTCCCTTGTGAAGACCCTAGACGCTACACCTATGGAATTGTGAAAAGACATAGTAGCTTCTGTGAAACATAAGGGTTGGAAGCCAGGGTGACTTCTACCCTGCCTGGTAGGCATTTCATCACCTTGGGTGTGAGCTGTCATCTAGGATCTAAAACTGTAGCCTTGATGACTACACATAAACTACCCTATGGATTCCAGTTAAGAGGGACTTTAGCATTACATAGAGAGACTAGTGGAAGAGAAAGAGGAACTGAAGAAGTTGCTGTGGCTCATTTGGAAGAATCCTAAGCTCAAGTCAGCGATCCAGACTCAGGTGATCCAGACTGAGGTGGGCTGCCTCAGCATTGGTGGGTTCACCAGCAGGCTTGGCAAGGCAGCAGCAGGCCCACCCTTACTCCAGAGCAACTGTAAGATGCTGGTCTCCCTCTTAATCCTTTTGGGTCCTTTTCCTGCCCAAAAGATCTGTCCCCACCCTATCAGGATCCACCCCTAAAATCTTTGAGATTTTAAATCTTTCATGGAATTTGAATAAACTACCTAGAGAATTTTCCATAGGAAAAGATGTCATACATGGGAAGTTTCAAATTACTATTTAAATGTATTTCGTATAATATTGGAATTTTAAAAAAGAAATCTAATTTACATACTACATTTAAAATTTTAATTGTTCAAAAGTGGTGTAATAACATTTAAGTTATTAAACTAAAATGACTCTGGATTCACATATTTGGGCAAAATGTGGGTATATTTTTTTGTTGTTGTTTTGTTTTTATTTTTGTTTTGTTTTAAGAGAAAGGATCTTGCTCTATTGCCCAGACTGGAGTGCAGCAGTGTGATCACACCTCAATGCACCCTTGGACTCCTGGGTTCCAGTGATCCTCCTACCTCAGCCTCCTGAGTACCTGGGACTATAGGTGCATGCCAACACACCTGGCTAATTTCTTCCTTACTTCCCTTTCCCTCCCTTCCCCTTTATTCCACCTTTACCCTTTCTTTCTTCCTTTCTTTTCTCCTTTCCTTCTTTTTGCTCGAGAGAGGGTTTTATTATGTTGCCTGGTCTTGAACTCCTGTGCTTAAGTGATACTCCCGCCGTAGCCTCCTGAGTAGCTGGGAATACAGGTGCATGCCACCATGCCTAGCTAATTTTTTTATTTTTCATTTTTGTTGGGAGAAGTTCTCACTATGTTGCCCAGACTGGTCACAAACACCTGGCCTCCTGAAATTCTGGGATTACAGGCATGTACCCAGCCTGACTTTTTTATGATGTGGTGGTTGCTAATCAACTTAAAAACACCAGCCTGTAACAATTGTGTAAATAAATAATTGATTGCAATCATGTAGAACAGTAATTCTCAACTCTGTGGCAATTTTGTCCCCAAGGGTACATAAGATAATGTGTAGACATTTTTGGTTTGTCACAACTGTTGGAGGAAGTGGGAGCAGGAAAGTTGGGGGGAGCATATTACTGTCATCTAGTTGGTAGAGGCCAGGGATCCTGCTAAGGATCCTATAATACACAGCAAGTGTTTGCTTAGATTGAGAAATCCTGCTATAAAGGGTTCCTTAGGACATAGCATTCGATAAATGTTAGTTAATATTTATGTAATTATAAAAGTACTTAAATTTTCACATATAATTTTTATATTATCCAGTTTATTTCTTTATTTCTTTTTATTTTTTGAGACAGAGTCTCACTCTGTTGCCCGAGCTAGAGTGCCGTGGCATCAGCCTAGCTCATATCAACCTCAAACTCCTGGGCTCAAGCGATCCTTCTGCCTCAGCCTCCCGAGTAGCTGGGACTACAGGCATGTGCCACCATGCCCAGCTAATTTTTTCTATATATTTTTAGTTGGCCAATTAATTTGTTTCTATTTTTAGTAGAGACGGGGGTCTCACTCTTGCTCAGGCTGGTTTCAAACTCCTGACCTTGAGCAATCCACCTGCCTCGGCCTCTCAGAGTGCTGGGATTACAAGCATGAGCTACTGCACCTGGCCTATTTTTTATTTTAGTTTTTTTAGAGACAGAGTCTCACTCTGTTGCCCGGGCTAGAGTGCCGTGGCATCAGCCTAGCTCACAGCAACCTCAAACTCCTGGGCTCAAGTGATCTTTCTGCCTTAGCTTCTGGAGTAGCTGGGTCTATATGCATGCACCACCATGCCCAGCTAATTTTTTTTCTATATATTTTTAGTTGGCCAATTAATTTCTTACTATTTTTAGTAGAGACGGGGTCTTGCTCTTGCTCAGGCTGGTTTCGAACTCCTGACCTTGAGCAATCCGCCCGCCTCGGCCTCCCAGAGTGCTAGGATTATAGGCGTGAGCCACTGTGCCTGGGCTTTCTTTCTATACTTTTGATAATGTTTCTTTTCTTTTTTTTTTTGAGACAGAGTCTCACTTTGTTGCCCAGGCTTGAGTGAGTGCTGTGGCATCAGCCTAGCTCACAGCAACCTCAGTCTGCTGGGCTCAAGTGATTCTTCTGCCTTAGCCTCCCGAGTAGCTGGGACTACAGGTATGCGCCACCATACCTGGCTAATTTTTTCTATATATATTAGTTGGCCAATTAATTTCTTTCTATTTTATAGTAGAGATGGAGTCTTGCTTTTGGTCAGGCTGGTTTCGAACTCCTGACCTTGAGCAATCCACCCGCCTTGGCCTCCCAGAGTGCTAGGATTGCAGGTGTGAGCCACCGCACCCGGCCTTGATGATGTTTCTTTTTGTGCTAGTACAATATTGTTTTAATTACTTTTGTTGTGTAATTTAATCCAGTTTTGGTTAATCTTATTTTAATAACTGACTTCTAGAGATTAATATTGAAATAATTTTATCGACTTTCAAAACTAATTCTATAGTCATGCATTACTTAATGATGTTCATATGTTCTGAGATACGTGTCTTTAGGCAATTTCATCATTGTGTGAACATCATAGAGTGTACTTACACAAACCTAGCAGGCATAGTCTACCATACAACTAGACTGCATGGTGTGGCCTGTTCTCTGAGAGTACAAACCTGTTCAGCATGTTACTGCACTGAATACTGTATGAAATTATATCAGAATGGTATGTGTGTGTCTAAGCATGTCTAAACATAGAAAACATAGAGTAAGAATATGCTATGAAAGATAAAAGAGGTACCTGTATAGGATACTTACCATGAATGGAGCTTGCAGGACTAAAACTTTCTCTGGGTGAGTCAGTGAGTGAGTGGTAAGTTGATGTGGAGGCCCAGAACATTATTGTATAACACTGTAGACTAATAAATTAATCTTAGTTTATTATAACTCTTTTAGTTTATAACTTAAAACAAATTTTTTTAAAAGCTTTTTGACTCTCTTAAAATGACACTTAAAACACAAACACTATGAGACTAAAAGAAGAGTCAGATGACTGAACTATTTATACCATCCTGAGGTTATAGAACAAAGAGGGGGTTGGGGATTTTTGTGGGGGCAGGAGAGTGACATGGGTTAAGGGAGAGGGAAGGGAGGAAAGCATGGCCAGCAAAAGCTGTGAAGCTGTCTTGTTACTAGATAAAGTCTCTCGGGTAATCCTGCAGCTGCTCTCGGAAAGCATAGATGTAGCCTATATTAATGTGTCAGACCTTACCTGTGTCAGATCTTCAGTCTGCTTTTCCTATGAGTTAACCTTTCCTAGATCTGGATAAATGGGACTCAGAGAAAGTATGTTTGCATCTGCTGCTCACTTTACATCACTAATGTTTGTTTCTTCTAAAGGGCAATTATATCCACAAAAGAGAGCTTTTTAGGGCTGTTAGAGGCAGGGTCTCACTATGTTGTTATCTAGGATGGTCTCAAACTTGAACTCCTGGTCTCAAGCCATCCTCTTGCCTCAGCCTCCTGAGAAGCTGAGACTATAGTGTGTGCCACTGTACCCAGCTAAAATTTCTTTATATAAAACCAACAGTTTTATTTCATAGTGTTTTATGTTTTTATTGTTAAAATGAATGTGATTTTTTTTTTACATTGTATTTTCTTTGTTTGGAAAGCCATTGTATTTTTTGTATTTGTTTTTTATTGTGCCATTTTAGTCATTTCTTATTCCTTTGATTTATAACTTAATACATTGACCAGAACTCATATTGAACAAAAATGATCATAAATGTCATCCTTGTATGTTTCTGAATTAAATATAGTATAAAAAGCATAGTACTCTGATGGCTGGTGCAATAAAAAATGAATTTTATTTAGAACAAAGAATATTTCTAATTGTCCAGGAAAGAGCCTCTAGAATGACAGTTTCATACAACCTTAGTTTTTTAGAATATCTGAACAATATTTTGTGCTGAAGGTAATGTGCTGAAGTAACATAATCATAACCCACTTTTCTTAGCTTTCTTCTCTCGTTCCCCTTAATGTACTCCAGACAGCATGAGCTAGTTTCTCTATCACATTTTAACGCCCAGTGACCATGTTATGTTCTCATTTCTGTTTTAAAGTCCTTTCCCAGTACATTGAATGTACTACCAGTACATTCAAACCCTATAGTTCTCAGCAGAAATGCCACCTCCTTCATGACATTGTTGCCTAGCTAGCCTGAAATGATTCCCCTAATCTTTGGATTCTTACAGCTATATCTATAGGTCTCTTATGGCATTTGCTTCTTTTGTTTGTATCATTAGGTATATATGTATAAGTTTTATTATAGTTTAAGGGACTGGTGGCAGTGGTGCTTTCTTTTTCATCTTTATATCTCTTAGCATAGGGCATAGTGCCCCTCGCACATGAGTATGTACTCTGGAAAAAATGTTAACAACTAAATGAAGGTACCATATGGTTACTTTCATTCTATTATCATCAGTGTTCCCTTTACAAAGTGTTATACATCTGCTGTTTAAAAGAATGTACCAAAACTATGCACATTTACCTTGCACTCAAGCATTTCTAAAGGTATGGTGACCATTCTCATTAACCATATGAGACAATGTTTCTTGTGTGTAACAGGACTCCATTTCATTTGTTTTTGGACAGGAGAATCAGATGAGAGGGAACAGTCAAAATTGGAAGTTAAAGTTTGGGACCCAAATAGCCCACTTACAGATCGACAGATTGACCAGTTTTTAGTTGTAGCACGGTAAGTATGTCATCATTGAGTCAAGGAATATCTTTTCTTTTTATAAAAGAATTTATAAGTATTTGTACATTCTTTTTTTTGTATGCTACTTTTTCTGCATTGGTTGTATTATCCTTTTTCTAGTTATATAAGAAAGCTTAATATTAGTACATATCATACCACTTCCTAAATAATAGTTTACTATCATTAATTTCTATTTTAAATGAAATGGGCTCATTAATTTTTGCTCAAAGAAAACAGAAGAAATTAAATCCCTGAAATCCCATATCTTTAATGGAAGCAGTGATCTCATTTATTGTAGACATGGATCATTTGGGTATCAATAAGTACATGCTGTTGGAATCCCTCTCGCTGCATCCGTGTGTGAGGAAGGCCTGTTGCTAAGCACAGCGCTTTCTTTGCGAGCATTCAGCCTGCTGCCTGGCTGGTCTCCTTCCTTTCTCCTCTTCTTTTCTGAGAAAACGAATGGGGCCGAATTTTATTTTTATTTTTTAAATTATAATGGTAAATGATGCTCATGGAGAAAATAGCCCCAAAACAGAAAATAATTGAAATTATCATAGCATTGTCATAGTGGAAAAATTGGAAAAAACCTAAGTTGGTACACTCATTTAATTGAATATTACTTTTTAGTAATTAAATGAATGAGTTAGAACTATATGTAGCAAAGAGATAATTTGAAAGATAATATTTCAAGGGTACATACAGTATGATCATTTATGTGTATATAAAGCAGCCATTTATGAAAAGTTCTACAATGTGCAAAACAATGCTTTATTTCATTAATGGATTTTTTTATACATTAATGGATATACAGGGGATTTTAACCTAATTTACATATTTCTTTTTTTTTTTTGTTTTGAGACAGAGTCTCACTTTGTTGTCCAGGCTAGAGTGAGTGCCGTGGCGTCAGCCTAGCTCACAGCAACCTCAAACTCCTGGGCTCGAGTGATCCTTCTGCCTCAGCCTCCCGAGTAGCTGGGACTACAGGCATGCGCCACTATGCCCGGCTAATTTTTTTTTTTTTATATATATATCAGTTGGCCAATTAATTTCTTTCTGTTTATAGTAGAGACGGGGTCTCGCTCTTGCTCAGGCTGGTTTTGAACTCCTGACCTTGAGCAATCCGCCCGCCTCGGCCTCCCAAGAGCTAGGATTACAGGCGTGAGCCACAGCGCCCGGCCTACATATTTCTTTAAAACATGAACCAAACATGGCAAAATGTTAAAACCAATTAGATCTATACAGTAGATGCAAGATCCTTCAGTATATTATTCTCTGATTTTCTTTTGAACTCTTTTCATAATCCAAAGGAAAAAATAGTCTTAGCTCATCCTTACATAGCATTTTTTATAGAGCCAGTCACCACAGATTGTCACACTTTGTTTTGTTTTTTTTTTTTTGTTTTTTTTTGAGACAAAGTCTCACTCTGTTGCTGGGGCTAGAGTGCAATGATGTGAGCCTGGTTCATAGTAACCCCAAACTCCTGGGCTCAAGTGATCCTCCTGCCTCAGCCTCCCGAGTAGCTGGGACTACAGGCATGTGACACATGCCTGGCTGATTTTTTCTATATATTTTTAGTTGGCTAATTAATTTCTATCTATTTTTAGTGGGGACAGAGTCTAACTCTTGCTCAGGCTGGTCTGGAACTCCTGAGCTCAAACAATCCACCTGCCTCGGCCTCCCAGAATGCTAGGATAACAGACGTGAGCTACCATCCCCTGCTCATTGCCACACTTTGAATGGGTGGCCAGGCACTGGGACTCCAGAGCCCTCACTGAGCACCCACTGTGCAGTGGGTAGAGACACTTGATGTACATCACTGAGGAGGGACCATTCAGTTGAGTAGAGGAGACTGAGGGTTCAGGAATGGAAATGAATTCTTTTTTTTAATTTTTTTATTTAATCTCTTTATTTTTACTTTTTTTCTTTTTGTGATTTAGGGTATCCTTAGAGAAATGAATTCTTGATGGAACACCTAGCCTAGAGGCCCCAGACAGGTTGTCCAAATTGTGGATTATTTAGGAGACATTGTAGTTTTCAAATTTGATTTGCATTCTGTTTTTTCCTTTTCTTGATTGCCAAGGGCTAATATGTTTTCTTTTCCTTTGAAGCTAGCCTGAAAGATACCAAGGGCTTGGTCCCTAGTATCGTTTTATTTTCAATCTTTGCTTTAAAAATCTTCTAAATACAAAGTAAGACCACAGTCAAATGCCACTGCCCATTTACTAGAGTGGTGAAAATTTCAAAGACAGTGCCAAGCATTGGTGAAGATGTGGAAGAACCAGCAGTCTCCTTGGAGTAAAAATTGGTACAGCTACTTTGGAAAATGATTGGCTATCCTCTAATGCAGGTATCCTCAAACTATGGCCCTTAGGCCACATGCGGGTGTTTTTGCCCATTTGTGTTTTTACTTCAAAATAAGATACATGCAGTGTGCATAGGAATTTGTTCATAGTTTTTTTTTAAACTATAGTCCGTCCCTCCAACGGTCTGAGGGACAGTGAACTGGCCACCTGTTTAAAAAGTTTGAGGACCCCTGCTCTAATGTATACATCCCTTAAGTTTCACTCCTAAATATATACCTGGCAAAAATGTATACTCCTTTGCACCAAAAGATATGGTATACAAATGGCATGCATGGCACTATTCATAGTAACCCCAAACCAGAAGCGACACGGAATGTCAATCAACAATAGAGCAGAGGCAGGGGTGGGGGATCATACAAAAGAATGCTGCATAGTAGGTTAAATGAATGAACACAGCTGTCGTCACCATCATGGATGAATCCACAAACATCATTTTGAACAAAAGAAGCTGAACAGAGAGTGTCTACATTGTGATCCTATTTGAGCCATACTGCTGGCTGGTGGTGGAATCCAGGATGGCGGCTCCATTTGGGAAGGAGCATGAGAAGCCTTCTGGGTTGCTGGTCACATTCTTTCTGGGCCTGGATGTTTATGACACGGGTGTGGGTGTGTTCACTTTATGATACCTACATCACTTTGCATTGTGTACTTTTCTGCATGTATGTTATATTTTAATTAAATGCTTAGAAAATTCTCTTCCTCAGCTAACATGTTTAAAATGCAGGTAGTAAGCAATGAGTCTTATTTCATGCTGTACCTCTTGAGGTTAGGGTTCCTTACATAGAGGAAGCCCTTCTAAATCATTAAATGAAAATCTTTGTTGATCATTGTTGTGGTAATTTTTTTAAATGGGATTTTATAGCCAAATATGCCAGAAAAGTATTAAAAAATAAAAGAAAAGAGAAATAAAAATAAATGGGATTTTAGTAGAAGTCTATTTTTATATTGAGTCATCACAGGAAGGGGTTGCTATAGTTAATGATATTTCAAGGAAAAAATGTTGCTGGATTTTATAATTTGGGCTAAAAACGTGATCAGAACTTGCTTTGCTGTAATAGTCAAACTGCAGCTCAGTGACTTTTTATTTTTTGAGCCAATTTGAAGACAAATGGTTTATTCCATGGCATTTTATAATAGATCTTCCTTGTCTTTCTTTATGCCCACATGAGCTATTTTTTCTTGATTTAATTATAAGTATCCGTTCATGGTAGATTGGCTTGTCAATTATTAAATCTTATAGAAGGAAAATACTTTTTACTTGATATTTGATTCTCAATCTTCCAACAACTTGTTTTGCCTTTTATTTTACAATTTTTCATTCTCTACCTAAATATGTTTTTTTAAATATACAAAAATAACAAGCTTAATTTTTTCTTACTGTGTTTGTGGTTTATTCAGTGCTGTTGGGACATTCGCTAGAGCCCTTGATTGCAGCAGTTCTGTGAGGCAGCCTAGTTTGCATATGAGTGCTGCTGCAGCTTCCCGAGACATCACACTGGTAAGACACTCTCTGACATTTTGAAATTGTTTATCCTCCTGCTACTTTTTAATTATTAAGCCATTAAGCAATACTGTAGACCTGGGAGCTTTCTTGTTCTGAGTCCTACAGACTGCTAGGTTGATTTGGCCTGGGTATAGTTGGTTAACTGGATTCCTAAGTCACTCTTCTGTTTGTGAGCAAGTCATTCTTCTGTTTGTGAGCTAAGAGAAGAATGACTATTCCATGAAGGAGGTGTAATATGGCAAAACAATATTTTTTGGGGGGGGCACAATTTACCATTTTGATTTATCTGTTTTAATGTTGTGGTTATTTTGAGCTGGTTTCTTGCTATGTTGCCCAGGGTGGTCTCGAACTCCAGGCTTAAACAATTCTCTTGCCTCAGCCTCCCAAGGAGCTGGGACTGCAGGTGTGTGCCAGCTGCCCAGGTTGATTTTACTTTTTCTATGGACTGAGTCTATGTGCTTACATAGTTGTAGATCATACATAATGCTTTTTGATTTTTTCACACACAAAAAACATTTTTTGTGTAAAAGTGATCTCCTCTTGAAACTTGCTGTAGGAGTTACTTTGTTGTCATGTCATTAGTCAATATCAATATTTAAAGTTTTTCCTGCCTGTTCACTGGAAACAGTTTTCTTATGTTATTTCATTATATTATGGTTGCTATCTTTTAAATTTATTTGATCTTTTCTTTTCATGATCAAATGAAGCTACCAGTATTTAGGTTAATTATGCCACTAATACCAGCTGTGGCCAGGAATTGGGCCTAGCACATGTTTCTCTCCATGCTCCAAAAAAGTAGACCTATAGGTTTTTTGCCAATCAAAATTACTTATTAATATTATATCTGATCCCCATAACCCTTTGTAGTAGGCATGATAGGGTCCTCATTTTACAGATGAGAGAACTGAGGTGTGATGAGATATTTGGCCAGTATTTATTACATAAAACAAAAGTTTCAATTTTGTTTTTTAATGGAATGGAATACAATGAATGATAAATTTTATTACTTTCTCATTGTGTAGCAATTTGAAATACTTTTCACAAAATATTTGTTATGATAATGTAAAAACTCATGTGGGAATGCCAATCAAATTTGTTTCCTATGCTTTCTGTGTATTTCTGTACAGTTATAGATTATGACCATAAGTGGTCTATAGCCTCTATGCTATGCCTTTTCTTATCCTTTTTCTAAGATTGGAATGTCGTTTCTTCTATAAAGTTTTGTTCTCTCCATTGGGGCATTAACATTTTATCCACAGTTTTAAGATTTCCAAAATACATTTGTATTTTGACTGTTTAAAACTTGGAGTGTAGACTATGTGTGGTGGCTCACACCTGTAATCCCAGCATTTTGGGAAGTCTAGGTGGGAAGATTGCTTGAGGCCAGGAGTTTGAGACCAGCTGTTTTGGGAAAAATCCCAGGACCACCCCCAAAACTGAGAGGGAGCCTAGAGACCAAAGAATGGTTGGCATAAGTCCAGCTTATCAAGTTAGATGAATTAATTATTAGAGGTTATTTATTTATAAGGGTGCTTGCTCCAGGGTTGCACAGGAATTTCTTCCACAGGTGCCCACCCTGTGGTGTTGCTTTAGGTCTCTTCCCAATGAGTAAGTAATGCAAAGTTTATAGATTGTATCTTTGCATGTTCACTGGAAACAAATCATTCAGACACAGTACCATCATCAACTGTACTGTCATGTAACCCAATGTTATGTTAATGATGTCACAGTTTTCCACTAGGTGGGGATTTTAGTATTACAGTTAGCTAATGGGCACTATAGGATAACCAAAGCAGCTCTAAAGCAGTCAGGGCTGCTTTGAGCCGACCAGAAGGTACTGAGGCACTCAGAAGTCCTGGGACCCTCCCCCCCACCCCAAGTAGTTTGGTACCTGCTTAATTTACTTTGTAGTAATGTTGCTGAGCACTCCAGGCTAGCACAGTGTTTCTGTTATGTCGTGAGGAACTTGCATTTTTTCCCTCACCATCTTGGGCAACATAGCCAGACCCTGTCTCTACAAAAAATTAAGAAATTAGCTGTCATGGTGGTATGTGCCTATAGTCACAGGTACTTGGGAGGCTGAGGAAAGAGGATTGATTGAGCCCAGGAGTCTTGAGGCTGCAGTTAGGTATGATGACGCTACTTGCATTCTAACCTAGGCAACAGAGCAAGACTGTCTCAAGATAAAATGTTAGAGAGTATTTTACCAGAGAAGCAAGAGTATAAATGTATAGAGGTCATGTTTGTATGTCATGTTTGTAAGAACTTCCAGAACTACATGGAATCTAATTAAGTAGCAACCTGTATAGTTTTTTCTGTTCAAAAAGACTTTCTCGATTCTAATATTAATATATGCTTATTATGAAAAGTTGAAAAATAGTACAGCAGCAAGCCCCCATCTTTGTTCTCAATACCCAGATCAGAATGATCTTACTATTTCATCGTTTCTATTTAGCCTTTTTTGTGCATTATAAACAATAATAGCAAATTACAGAATAGTACAAAGGATAATATAATAAAATTCCACATAAGGCCACCTAAAAACAATGTTAATATTTTAGTTCTTCAGATTTAAAAACTTTTTCCAACCACTAAACTTAATGTAGAAGTCCCTAGTATTCTCTCCTGAGTCCTATTCTTCTTCACCTCTGCCTCCTATCAAGAGATGGCTACTGTAACAAATCTGCTATAAATCTAGTCTGTGTTTTATAGCTCTACTATATATTTATGGATCCAAAAACAATATAAACATTGTTTTTTACGAGTTTAGATTTATTGTGTAACATTTGCCACTTGCCCATTATTGAGATCTAGCCATGTTAGTAAGTACACCCAGTTCATTCATTTCAGCTGCTTTATATAATCATATTTGTAATATTCTTTCATATTATACTACATTATTTGTGTATTCTGTTACCAGTGAACATCTGGAGTGCTTTAAACATTTTTCTTTGGCTAGTACTCATAATGCTACATTGGAAAATTCTAAGACATGTCCCTTTGTGAGTATGTATGTGAGCTTTTCAGGGTGTAACTGGAATGGGAATGCTGATTCAGAGCATAGTGCTCATTTTGAATTAGACCACATGTAGCAAGATTTTTTGTGCACTGTGGTAGAAGTTGATAGTCCCAGAAGCAGTTAATGAGGGTTCTCCTTTCTTCATTCACTTCCTTACATTATCTTCAAAACTTGATATTTTCACATGTTTACTAAGCTGATACTTTTTCATTTTAATTTATATTTCCCAGATATTTAATGAGTTTAAGCATATTTTCATATGTTTATTGGCTTTTCAAGTTTTCTCTTCTTTGTATTTTAGATTCATAGCCTTTTGTCCTTACTTGTATTATTATTTTACTTAAACAGTTGTATTTTTTTTTCCTTTCTGGCTTTTAAAACAGCAGAAATTTATTGTCTCACAGTTCTAGAGGCCAAAAGTCCAAAATCACAGTGTCAGCAGGACCATGTTACCTCTGAAACCTGCAGGGAAGGATCCTTCCCTTGCCTGGCTCCTGATGGTTTGCTGGCCCTCTTTGGCATTCTTTGTGCCACGCAGCTCCAGTCACTCTGTTGTTACATCGTGTTTTGCTGTCTCCTATTTTTTTCTAATAGTTTTGAAGTTTGTTTCTTTGTTTGTTTTTGAGACAGAGTCTCGCTTTGTTGCCTAGGCTAGAGTGAGTGCCGTGGCATTAGCCTAGCTCACAGCAACCTCAAACTCCTGGGCTCAAGCAATCCTTCTGCCTCAGCCTCCCAAGTAGCTGGGACTACAGGCATGTGCCACCATGCCCGGCTAATTGTTTCTATATGTATTAGTTGGCCAATTAATTTCTTTCTATTTATAGTAGAGACAGAGTCTCGCTCTTGCTCAGGCTGGTTTTGAATTCCTGACCTCAAGCAATCCGCCCGCCTTGGCTTCCCAGAGAGCTAGGATTACAGGCGTGAGCCACCGCGCCCAGCCAGTTTTGAAGTTTTATTCATATTTAGGACTGTAAATCTATCTAGAGTTTAATTTTGTGAGTAGAGTGAGGTAGGGATCCAATTTTTTTTCACATGTTTAATTATTCTAACACCCTGTATTGAATTTGTTCCTTGTGATTTATAATTGTTCTAGTATTATATTTTAAGGTCCTGGATATACGTAAGTCTGCTTTTGGACTTTTCATCTATTCTCTTCTGTATTGTTAATCTGTTTATCCCTGTGCAAGCACCACAATTTGATTACTGACAAGTCTTTTGAACTTTCTTTTTAACATAGTTAAGGTCATTTAAAACAAGTTTTGTACCCCTTCTCTCCCAATGTTGTCCCTAACTATGTAACATAAATACCTTTTCTTATCATTTATAGGAACCTAGAAAGTTTTTTCCCAGTATTAGGTCATCTTCCCTTATATAGATAAACACTATTCTTACGAGATAACGCTCCCAGATTATAACTCTGGATGTTGTCCTTGCAAATGCCCTCTGGCCTGTTTGAGGAGTAAGAGTGGACGAGCTTGTTCCCGAGATGGTACAGAGCTGAGCTCTTGTACCAACTCAGGATCTCAAGTAGCTGGGCTGACTCACCTGAGGGTAGGTCTGAGGGGTGCACAGCACATGTGTGGGCTTTTGGTTAGCTGCTGCAACTCTCTGCTTCCCACTGCTGGTGACTGTGCAAGACAGCAAGTGAAGTTCATTTGGAATAAGGCAGACTTTTAAACATTTGATATTTGTTTTGTGAGTGAAGGCTATTTATACAAAAAGCATTTTCAGGATGACACTACTTATATACCTTAATTAGTTTAAATACATTTTACGTGTATTATCTGTAATACTTGCCTATTGTGCTCCTTTTAGGAAGTTACTTTCATACCTTCCAGTGTTTTTGTCTCTTCTGTTTGTTTCCATAGCGTTTAGTTATTTGGAAGTCACTTGTGTGTCACATATATTACTTTAACTTATTTATTACTGTTACTATTTTTTTTTTTTTTTTTGAGACAGTCTTGCTTTGTTGCCC